GGAATTTTTGTTTTCTTTAACTACACTCTGTTCTAACTGTTTCTGTTTTTTAATTTCAATAACATGATGCTCCTGTGGTTTTCGCATTTCCACAACTTCCACCTTGGGGAAGAAGGAACACTTTGGTAGAACTGTATCAGCATACACAGTGACATTCTTTTCTTCTTCAACTACCTGACCAACATGTTTTTGTTTTTTCGCTTTCGCTTTATTCTCAACAACATCATTATCATGCCTCTTTAGCTTAAAGTATGTCTTGCTCTCATGTTTTTTGGTTTTTGCTTCCCAATCTTGTTTCTTCAGCTTACGTTTTTTCAGGAAGTATGCTTCGTGAAGCCTCTGTTGATACAAAGGAGAGTCATAATCCTGGTACAGATGATCACTGTCAGTATCATCACTATAAAAAATATCATCATTGTGACTTCTACTATTGATTATTCCATCCATCTCTGTAACAAGAAGTGCTTCACTGGCAGCTTTGTTGCGATCTGATGTATGCAAAGTAACTTGGGAATGAAGCTTAGAATACTCAGGTACACTCTGATTCTCTTTCTCAGCAATTAGTTGTTTTACCGATGGACGACGATCATCTGCTTGCTCAATTCCAGTGCCATTTTGTTGTAAAGGAGGAGAGCCAATATTCGTTTTTGCAGCTTCATCAAGTTCAATAAGCCGTTCTTTATCACCAATCAACTGTTGTTTTCTTGGTTGTTTAATACCAGTGCCATTTTCGGCATGTATTAAGATCTCACCATTTTGATTATGTTGGTATTGTTTTCCACCATTTATCACATGTGTACGTTGTGGGATGGGGTGATACACATTGCTTACATTGTTTACCTCAGGAAGTGAGAAAGTTTCTTTTCCACAGTCATCAGATATATAAGGTTTCAATGTTTGGGAATTTGGTTGTGGTTTGACAGGAATGATATATTCATCAGTCTTATTAGATGGATATACGTTAGAATGGTAGTCAGTGGTGTTAGATGATGATGATGATGATGATTGCAATGTACTGTTTGTCTCATCACTCACTTTATAAGAGTCTTCTGAAATGGGGGAAGACACAGGGGAGAACTGTATGATAGGGAAAAACAAAGTCATATATCAATCACAAAAAAATAAAATGGACCTCCTACCCACCAAGTCTATCGTTGAAATATATTGCAT